TCGCGCAAGATAACATGTGACGAGGTCGGAAAACTTGTTTTTAGAAGACATTGTCTGAAAGTTTGGAGGCGGTGTTTTGCGCATGGAATGAAGGAGTCCGAAAACCGGTACTCTGTGGTGTCCTTGTCAGTCGAATTGCTATCGACTGATTTGATTTTACGACGTTCGGTTAAAGTCGGCAATTGTTTACAGGTCGGAATAGTGCCCGGGAGATGATGTTAGCTGATCGATGAGCCTAGCGGTCATTTTTAATCGTAGTTCCAATTGTCTTCTACCCAAATTAAGCCTTAAGAAGGAAACGTTACAAGATGACGATTACGTAAACTTAAGCAAGGATAGCGAATAACACTCATCTGCAAACTAATTTGTTTTTTTGGGTTTTCGAGATACTCACCTGGAACCCAGCTGAATCGCACGTTTTTGATGTTTCCAGGCAACTGAATGTGCTGCACCAAGCTGCTATGATATCCGAGATATCGTGATGCATGTATATTCGTAATGCACTACTCGTAGGGTTACTGAAAATTCGTCGACAGCCCACGACCGGTTTCGCCCTTCTGCAAATGGGTGTATATTCGCGAGTTTCGTGCAATTTGGTTTCAAGTAGAACATAAGGTTGACGGAAACTCGGGGACTGCGCCTACCCGTTGAGTTCCAAAAAGGGCGAAACCGGTTGTGGGCTGTCGACGGATATTCAGCAACCTTATGAGCAGTACATTACAAGCATTGTTTCTCAGTCAGCGGGTGCTCCAAAGTACATTTTGGTTAATTCAGCGAGGGAATGAAGAGAGTCCGTTTCCTATAAAACAGGATATCCGGTTCGGCCAGAGCAACCATCTCCAGTATTCCAACAAGATCCACAATATATGTAGGATATTATGATTTACAGTGATAATACGATAGCAGACCACGGCTGTTGACACTCACTCAGGGCACAGATCAATACTCACTACTTTAGCTACTTACTAAGTTTAGGTGTTCTCTTTTGTTTCCATAAAAAGATGTTGGATCTTCTAACAGAGCGAAAGGTTCATTTCCATTACACTATATGCATCGATAAACCTCGGTGACACCGCAACATGTGATCCTGATGGAGAACTGCTTTCTTCACTAGATTTTTTGACGGGTGGGATTCTTGTGGTTACATTATACATTATAAATTTACAACATTTTGTATATATTATAATCTGTTGAGGTTGGGTAAGTGGGGCAGGTAACGTTTTTTGTTACTTAGGCGAAACCGGAACAATGGTACCGCGTTTCTGGTTGCATTCTTAATCCACTATAATGTGGCATGTTGCGTCCTGGAATGACCCCCGCTGGTCTGTGGTAGTTATTCAAAACTGACCAGCTCATTGTAACCAGCTTTACCACAATCCACTATGTACAGCGTAACGTCCGCTGACGGTGGTGAAAGAGGCAGGCATCTATTATTTTAATAGGCACTGAAGGCAACTGAAATCCAATGAAAAACTCATTCCTGATTAGTGTGGACTCATTAATTTTTGGCAACAAAAAAAACTTCTTCAAAAACTGGGAGGATTGTTCGCAAAATCGTCTGCTGCTTCTCAAAGATTCCACGGAGGTTTTAACCGTATTTGTTTTCGAGGTAGCCTACTTAGATTTCACAGAGCTTATCGGACGAGAATCAAAGGAAGTAGTTTCTGTGTAGTGCTTTGGTTTCTTCTACACAATGATGTTTTTTGTGAACAGAGGAATAATTCGTTGAAGTCGATATACAAGCGAAATATGCGTTGTAACTGAATTGAAGTGATGTGTACTCTTCCTAGTGACACAAACGTCAAGGTGCGCCAAATATCCAGATTTTCTACTCAATGGTTTATACACTATGTATGCCGTTCACGATGGGATGCACCTGAAAGTGGGTCTTATGGCAGTTCAGAGCTATTTGGTCATCTTCATCGAGTGACAAACTACCTGAGGGTCACACGTGGCCTTGGAAAAACCACACGCCTTGAAAACCGACCAGCTGTCCTTCATCAGCTAAAGTCACTTCGCCGTCATGCAACAAACTGATGCGATGTCAATCGGAACGCAGCGCAAGGTGCATATTGTTCCATCCGCATAGCTGCTGAAACGAGCCAAACGGCAGTGAATGTACTCACTATGCATGTCATAAACGGTAGGTCTCGGGCGACTCATTGTACCGAAAAACGGTGCTGATAAAAGACAATTTGGTGGCATTGAAAAGGCAACTTTCAGGATGACAGCACAGATGAAAGCACTCAAACTCTATCGATTTATTCGAGCAGCGGTGCTAGTTGAGGCATTTAGAACTCTGAGCACAATTTACGCATCTGTTTGGAAAATCAATAGAGTTTACATGCTTCACAACACATATGGACACGTTTTGTTTTGACCTATGCGTGCTAGACGTATTAGTACAGCACGATCTACACCGGAAAAGTTCATTCAAGCGGTAAGATGCTAAACAGGACAACAAGCTGGTTGGATTGATCTGCCAAAGCACACCATTAACACACGTTGCTTTCCCGTTTGGACGTAACACACTACTCAAAATGTCGCTGGAAACCCTTCAATGTATTGCGATATCTCAAAAATCCTATAAAATGAGACAAGGGATGGCCTGGTGCAGCAAATTCGGTTAAAGCAGATTACCGTAAACGCCAGATTCAGCTGGATTCATTTGAGTCTCCTGTCAAGGCCAAATACGTGGGCAAATGAGGGCTTTCTTTAGGTACGTTGCTGCAGTTTAAGTTCCGTTATTAAAAGTACAAAGTATCCTAAAGGAAAGTAAATTTGTCGAACTGGCAACCTAAATTAAACCATCAGTCTTATGTGTAAATCCCCATGGGGAACCTCCACGTAGTCCCAAAAAAGTATCGAACGACCTGTTTGGATTTCTAACAAAGGATCTTTTAAACCTTTCGAACACAAGGAGGTGTCCGTCACGTGTGCCTACTCTCATCATTCCTATTTGATTTCATGGTCGGGGAGAAAATGAACGACAGCTGGAAGGTCTTGAAAACCCTGGTGTTCAAATAGTTGCTCACGAAAACCTGGTCGATCTGGAATATACAGACGATATCGTTCTCGTTTTCGAGGAGGATTGTTTTTCGCGATTGTTTTTCGATGAAATGACAAAAGCCACCCCGTTCCTGGGCATGCGCTTTGCGACCGCAAAGTGCAAAGTCATGTTCCTGGATATGCAATCACTGAATATGCTATTTACAATCCATAAAGCTTTTGGCCTATCTTGAAGGTGTATCATTTCCAATTGTATTGTGACGGAAGAGACCGAGGCACGAATCTACGGGCAAGGGGAGGGTTTGATAATTTGAGACACCTTTGGCTTCAAAGTGTCATGTTCCTGAATCTCAAGAAACGGGTGTATTATGCTACAGTACTGGTTATTTTGTTGCATGTCTTAGACGTGGATCCTTCGGGTAACGGAGCTGAGATGTTTTCAAGCGTTCAACAACCATTGTCTCAGAACCATAGCTCGTGCCGGCTGGCATCGGCAAATCCGTAACGAGGTAGTTAGGAAGCGAATGTTCGGTTGTGCGCCAGTGACTTTCATCAAACGATGTGTCCAGCACCAGAAGCTGCGTTGGTTAGGCCATGAATTGAGGCCACCCACCGCTTGCCGTCGCTTTCCATGACCAACACAGGGTGGTGGTATCAGAGAGCAGACTAACCTTTGACCTGTCAGGGGGTATGAAAGAGAGTATGGAAAATCTGGGTGCTATCCGTATCCTTCCCCACTGCACCTTGGGCGAGATGGCCAAGTGGTAAGAGCGCGAATTTACTGACCGGAAGGTACGTGGTTTGAATCCCACCTCCGCCTCTCGACTTACCCTGTCTAGGCTTGGGCAACCTGGCAGTATCCCAGCCCTCGTGTTGCATGACAGCTAGACACCGGAAGAGTACCACAGCTGAACGCTCTCTATTCTCTCTCCCACTGCACCTTGTAGGAGAGACTACGAAAAATGGTTGCTAAACGATTTCAGTGACACTCTTTCTGTCAATTTCTATCCAGATTACCTGGATGAGTGTCTGAAGTTGGAGACACCTTGGAATGACTGTCAGGCTACCATCAAGTTCCCTATTCATACACTTTTACTGTCTTCACAATAAGGCGCGGCAGCGAAGCACCAGTGTTGAACGCTGATGTTATGCTGTCGATGATGATGGTGATCGGACGAGCTCTCATACACAATGAATATTCCGTCGAAAACGAAGATCTTTTACTTAACAGGTAGATTCTGGACAGCAACATTTTTCACTGAAACAATGGAGAAAACTACGGTGTTCGGGAATTTATTGGTAACGGCTGAGTGCTTCTCCATCTTTATCAGTTCAGTTCCTATCCGAATAGTTGTACCAGCTTCAACAACCGTCTATTGATACCACCGGTATCCATTGTCACATGAGGAGTCATTCAACGGCATGTCGCCTGATGTAATCTGTGCCCTAAGAATGAGTAGCGCTATTTGCGACCTCAGACAAACAACACCGCACTACTGACCAGCTATCAGTAGATGAATTTTATGATACTTGACTTCTGTTTGGGAAGGCCATCATTCCGGCCTGCCTCGAGGAATTTGTAAGATGCGCACTGTTGGTGATTCCTAGCAAAGATGAACCAATATTACGGTGCTTCTAGGTCCTTCCGCATGAGCCAATCTAGATTGGAAGACATAATAAGCTCACCCAGAAGTCTTGGGCGATCTGATGAATCGGGCCAAGGCATTTGCAGACACCTTGTGCAATCTTCTTCTATTACTACTAATACTACTATGTGCCGCGTGTCAAAAAGACTGTTGTGTTTTGCCCGAATTCTCAACACTTGTTTGAATGTAGACAATGAAATATCCCTAAAGACCACTGAAAAATCAGCACGGTAGACCTATAGGCTCATGAATTTTGGTTGGTAACTAGCACATTGCCAAAATCTTGAGATGATTCAAACAAAGATAGGAGAAGCGGAGACCAAAAACCTTGAATCGATTACTTACACTGTTTGGGAAGGCTGTTCGTCCCATGTACGTCATGTGTACAGTTGCTGGTGTGACGGAAAGCTGTTGGTTTCCGAGGTTTTGATGTAATCCGACCGCAGCATTGAACATTTGGGGATTATCGTAATTCGATTGATTAAAAGAGTTGTAGGTTGTCGCATAGCATTCCCCTGGATGATTGATAAGGTAGGTTTGGACGGGTTGGAAACCGGTTGTCAAACGTGGCTCCATATAGTGCATCCGATATGAAAGGTCAGTTTGAATTGGATTTATCGAGTGCACAGACTGTAAGGAAACTGTTGCGTCCTGTGGTGTTGAATCAACTGTACGTTCATTCGGAGAACCGTGCGATTCGGATAGAGTTGGGGTTCCGTGTAATTCTGTCTCACCTGCTTGCATAGCGCTGTTTACCTCGTGCTGCCAACGGGCAATCAATCCAAGTTTTTGACGCCATAATTCGGGATCCATCGTATCTCCTTCAGCCATGTCCGGCGTTTTCATCAGTTGTGAGTGGAACTCGTTAGTGGGTGAAAAATTCGACGTCTGGTTACCTTGGCCATCTCCAGATGGGAAAGGACCTTTAGTTAGTTTTGAAAACCAAACAGGGGTCACTTCTCCCGCGTAAGGTCTTTGTGACATGGCGGCCTGAACATGTTCTTCGTATCGCTGAGCCGCTGGGGACAGAGCCACGGTTTTGATTATGGGTCTTTCTGACGAAGTAACGGTTTGGTCATTTTTGTTCTGCATTGTGGGGTTACTTCTATTTTTGTAAATCCCCCGTGATCGATTTGTCCTATGCGTTTGTGTCGCGATGCCGTCTGAGGTGGTTGGCGGTGCTGAATCCATTTTATATGTGTCTAGTTTCCGTTGGAAGGTAATTTCAGATGGTTCACTGATAAGTGGTGGGTTTTTGACCGACAAAGAGCGACCGCTTTTCCGGTAATATCCATTATTTACCTCAGTGTAGACGCGGGGTGCCTTAATAACATTCGGGTCGTATTCTGTTAGTCCACTGTCTGCAGCAGTATATCTGGTTAGGTCCGTTTTGGGGTTGGTATGCTTTTCGCTCTCACCATGGTCGGAAGGCTCGGTTGCGAAACTAGATACAGTCACTCGGCGCCTTAAAACGGGTGTCGTGCGAAGGGCTGATTCATTTGACCGTGGCGTGCATCGTGTGCTGTGGTCGCCGAGCTTGGGCATAGCCCCTAATGATTGGTCGATTCGTATAGCATCTCGAAAGCAAGGGTGCGGTGAAACAAACACACGGTCTTTCGAATCAGACGATTGGACAGTTCGGCTTCGAACTGGTCGGTAGTATCGTGGTCGTGTGCACTGTCCCTGATCGGATGTCCAGCCAGTTGACTCTCCACTGGAATTGGACAGTGCTGTTGGTGACCTTGTGGCAAATATCCTGTGACGTCCGAGCGTGATTTTGAGCGGCCTTCTTGTTGCTGCCGGGGTGCTGGTGCTGCGCTGCCGGAAAGGGAAATTTGTTGCTTGTTCATAAAGTTCTCTGCGTAATGGCTGCGTCACTGGTGATATTTTCGCGCTGGTTACAGAAGGCATTTTAAGAATAACTGCGTCAAGCTCAATGGGGCTAATTGTACCAGGAAATTCTTCAATGGGAGTTTGGGCTTCACTAATTGTCAAAGTTGAGCTTGACAAGTCACTGATCTGTGCAGCAGAATCCATGGAGTTCGACTCGACTGTGAACATATTTGCTTCATTTTCTGGAGTGCATTTGATCAAAGTTGATTGTGGTAGCTCATAACACAATGCCTGGGTGGAGAAATCTACTTGAGGATAGGTGTGGATACACTCATCATTCCGGGCTAGCAGATAGTCTTCCAGTGAACTGATAGATGAAGATGTCGCTGATCCGTTCGGCGGCAAGATGTCACCCTTAATTCGGGCAGAATGAACGGTGGATTCTGTTGAGGTATGCTCACCACGTGCTTCGTATGGCTGACTTTTGTTTTCTGAGCTATTCTTGTCAGCTTTAAGGGTTGGTGTCACTGTTGTGAAGCTGCACTCTGTGTGGGAGCTCCTTAGTGTCGATTGTGAAGCATTACCTTGGTAGCTGAGCACTCGACTCGACCGAAGGGCTGGATTGAAGTATTCTTCCCAGGCACTGGCCACTGTGGCAACCTGACCTGAACGCGGTCGGTCACAAACGGACCAGCGCTTTTTTATGGTACCTCCTCTACCTTCATGTAGATCATTCTGACACGACGCTCTGAAGTCGCATTCCTGCTCCGGTAGCGAAATGCGTTTGTAGTCAGTCCTATCCTCTACGGTCTGACGAGTGCCCCGCTGCTCAGCTTCCATTGTACTGCTCTGATGTGACGGATGAGTGCTATCTTCGAAGAATCCGTTACCTGGCTTACCATTCGTCANCGACGCTCTGAAGTCGTATTCCTGCTCCGGTAGCGAAATGCGTTTGTAGTCAGTCCTATCCTCTACGGTCTGACGAGTGCCCCGCTGCTCAGCTTCCATTGTACTGCTCTGATGTGACGGATGAGTGCTATCTTCGAAGAATCCGTTACCTGGCTTACCATTCGTCACGGTCAACATTTTATTGTCTTTTGTTGACCATAAAACAAAGTCTGCATCCGACAGAATTTCATCACTGAGTCCTGGTAGCTGTTTACGCACCAAAGCTGACAGAATACTTTCCTCACTAGTGCAAAGGTGATTTGATTTTGATCGTGAACTCTGATAGTAGTTTGGGGTTTGGTTCATTGGAATATCACATTCATTAATGTGACAAATATTATCGAAATCCGAGTATGTCACACTCTCTGTAATTGTTGGAGGCGGTGGATTGCAGACCTTGACGGTTTCCAGATGACTGTTGTTCGTGATGGACTGAATAGGTGCTTCTGGGTAGTGGTCACCCGAGCTGGCGTGTGAACCGTTGATACGGTTCCCCATAACTTTCCCACTAGCTTTCTGAGAGCTGACCAGTTCGGGCAGTGGAGATGGTGGGGCTGGAAGTGAAGGGGGTACTTGAGAAGCGCGCGGCTTGGCAGCTGGCGGAAAGCATGCGGAGAAGGAGAAGCGCTGGAAAGAGAAACACAAAATCACTGAACAGTTTGGTACATACGGAAAGATAATTTGTCAATGATACAGTCATTTACGGGAAATGGACAAGAATTCGATATAGTTGTTTTTTTTGTACAACCATATGACTATTAACTGGGATGAGCCGAGTTTTTTAAGCTCGCGCCCCAGGCAGTCTCATTCGAGGATGCTCCATTGTGATTAATTTGTTTCAGATGAGACTGAAGATTTGCGGAGACAGTAGCTTGTCATGAATGTCCGTATTGAACTCATTTGTTCCGTATGAATAGTGTTTCGGTTCGGTCGTTCTGCGAGCCGAACATGCTTCCAGTAAAGAGCCCGAAAGCCTTGACCCTAAACCAATACGCGGAAATGGAAGAACCTGTGATTACCAGTCTGATTACTGTCAGTCAGTTGCCGTCAGAACTGTGGCTGCAATGCCACCTTACCAAAAGTGTAAGAGTGAAAGACCTTGAAATGGAGCTCTACTAAAGGTAGGAAGTCAGTTTCTATCTTGAAAATTGACCGTGAACTAGGTGAGTAATGTAAAAACATGTAGTACAAGTGACAGACCTAAATCTTTACTTCTTCAAAGGGAAGAAAACGAGAGTGGACAAAGCTCCTATCCGGTATTGACCAGTTTCACCTTCTTTTTTGTGATTCACACTCTCCGGGGTCCGCAAACGTTTGTCATCCTCGTGGATGACTTATCCGCGAACAGGAGTGTTAGTTACAGTGAAAAAGAAAAGAACATTCACGCATTAACAGATTCGTCCGGTATAAATCACAAGGCGCTTGCAAAATTGCTTCATTCTCGTTGCCTTGCCGTTTGAATCGGTTCAAAGAAACGCCTATATATTCAAGGCGAACTATCCTGATTTCCAATAAGCATGAGTTGCAATCAAACCTTATGATCGTATTGCTCGTTTTTTTTCACGCTGTGTTCAGCAAGCTCTTCCAAACTCGCGTCAATGATGAAACGCTGGTCTGGCACCAGGGTAGTGGGGCTGAAAGCACTGTGTGATAAAGCCATTACCACTGCCTTTTGATATCTTTATGCATTTCGAGTTAAAGTTCCCTTTCAGAAACTGATCAGTTTCAAAGTGCGAAAGTGCTTTGTCAACCTGTTATTGAAGCAAAAGAGGACAGGAGCTATCGGTTATCATACCAGCCAGGCCCAATTAGGCCAGTCACCCATCGCACCCGTCGATATCCATCTCAGAAATGACCAAGACTCCATTGGTTACTTTTATTTCTGAGCATACTGTGCCCTATTTTCCACCGGGACAGACAAGGTAGCGATCGATATCAACTGGAGAAATAAGGGTTTGACCCAAGCTGGTAGTATCCCACAAAGTTTTAGTTACGACCCGCGGCTTTGGCAAGAACAACAAAGGGATGTACCTTCGGTTGGTCTCCTTCTGTCGGAGAGTTTAAAAAAATTATTGCCCCAGCCATTTCTTCGTAAAGGTGAATGTAATAGAAAGTGTCTCTTACTGGGCATTTGTTACTAAAGGAATTACTAGTGTAAAAATTTTGTAGTATTGAACTTTTTTTCTTTCTTATGAGCTTGATTACTTGACGGTTTCTAACAGGCAAGGTTCTCTGCATCTTAGAAGGCGATAAATTAGGCACCCTAAATGATCACGGGAGGCAAGTTGCGTGAGTCTCAATCTGAACAGTGCCCAAGGCAATAAAAATACTGGACGTGTTGAAGGGCGTGCCTTATTAAACGTTAAATACTGAAGCAGAACTCAACATTTTTTCTACGGATTAGTACTTCTGAAGCCGGAATTGTGGGGACTGCAGGGGAAAAACCACTGATATGATACTGCCTGTTACGACCGTGTATAACCCCGATTCTTTGTATCACAGTCCAGTAGAATGTTGCCGGTTTCGGGGTTGTCAGACAGAATACAATCCCAACATACTGAGTAGCGGAACGAAAAGCTTTATTCAGGATCTATCGCTTCAATGCCAGCCGAGACTAAGCAACTAGACACTTCAAAATAGAACGCGAATATTAAAGTCGGTTGATCACGCCATCGAAACTTGCCTAAGCAACTCATCTCTAGAGGAAACAGGTATGGTTTTTCCAATGTAACTTCACAGATGACACAGATACAAAACACAGCATTGGGTTAACCTGATTCTGTCATGTCTTATCCTAACGGTCCCAACTGTTGATGAATCCCCTGAATCAGTTGGTCACGTGTCCAACACTGTAGACAAGCTACTCAGTTCGTGAATTACTTTCATTATTAACAAAACCGGAAACGGATTGTTCTCAGTTCAATATGTTTTATGATAACCTCAAGGGATGTATATTTTGCTCAAAGTTATCTGATGTAAAACTTATATTTTTCATCCAAGATTATGATGTATACCATTTATGATAGACTTAGCGCTTGTCGTACCCACAGATTCAATAAATCCAAGAATGTCATCGAGACTATAAAAAAATCATTCAGTTGTAACACCCTTCCGGTGCCTAGCTGACATGCCACCCGAAGGAAGCACGAGGGCTGGGATAGTGCCAGGTTGCCCAAGCCTAGACAGTGGAAGTCGAGAGTCAAAGGTCAGGTTCGAATCACGGACCTTCCGGTCAGTAAATTCACGCTTTAATCACTTGAGCCATCGCACCCCCCATCGAGACTATAACCAATAATCCAATGTTTTGCCGAACAAGCTAAAATAGAAATCCAGATCGACCTAAGTTCTTGAATTTTTACTAAACACTAGAACAGATTCACTGCAAATTTACAAAATCCTGATTGATGGCAACACATATTTGTACCATCATATGAACAGAGGCGGTCCAAAGTGCTGCTGATGAAGACGTCAACTTTGCAAGCCCACGAAAGTCCAATCTTGACAGAACCCTTTTTATTAAGTAGGGAACAGACTATAGGGAGTTGTGGTGTTCAGTGATCCACTATGCCTTACATCATTTTCTGGCCTTCTGTTGAAGGCGCACACATTAACCATGCACAGCCCAGAGTGAAAAAAAAGTCATTTTATCAAAGTGGACAAATTTCCCCCGATTCCATCTCCTTCAGTGAAACAGTGTTTTGTAATGTGCATGATGGGATCGTCTTGCCTATCTGGATGCCTCTTGTCCAATAAACCCCGGTCCTTTTAAAGTAATGGTCCGAGACACGCTTCATCTGCTTCTCATCAGATGACCACTCACGAGGTCAACGTGTAGTTCGTTTTGCAAACAATGGGTGAGTTGTCCTTCCATACTGTTGGTGAATCCTCGACAGAGGTGAGTAGCCAGGAAATACGTTGTCTAAGTCATTCCCTGGCAGCCACCCAAAATGCTGCCATCTATGAAATTTTTAAGGCACCAAGCTGCCTTCTGTACAGCATGTTGTCTTGTCACGAAAGGGTGTATTCATCGTTTTCTACTTCACTGTATGTTCCATGTTAAACTCTAAGCCAGAGATTTCATCTCTCCATCTGATTGTCGGTTTGCGAGTCGACTTTAAAGTCATCTGGGTGCACACAGGGAGTCCAAAGGATGCTTCTGTGATGATTGGCCGTCAGCCTGGACAACCCCCAGTCATCATTGGCTTTCTGATTTGAGGCTACTTCACAGCAGAGAGTGAATCCATAATCTCCTCATCATGGTTTGTCTCTAGAAATTACTATACTAAGCGCTTACCGTATCAAGCCGCACACCAATAAACCAACATCTAAAATCATGTTGCAGAACACAAAATGACAGAAGCGAAATGTGAATTTTGATGTCAGCGAATTAAGCACCTGATCTTCGGACATTTCGGGTATTTATGGAACGTTTGAAAATGCCAGTAATAAAGTCTGTTTTCTTAAATCCTGCAAACGCGACAAAACTATCTGAAGCGATCTATCTCCTGATCTATGGATCCGCATGGGTAACGAGGGACTAGAGAGGACGTTAGTGTAAGTCGAGCTAGCAGAACATCAAACGTTCAGACTAGATTTGGTAGCGATTTGGTAAAGATTTCATTTTATCTGTACAAGTCACTTAAAAGTCATTCTTTCTACATGCCATGTAAAAGGCCACCGAATGTGTGATACAAGTCCCGGTCGAATCGTACTACTTGCATCCATCCAGTAGTTTGCTTCGTTTAACTAATTTACCGTCGGTGTGCAGCTCGCATTGACCACCGAAGACTAGTCAGTAACAATCGTTCGAAAGCTGCATGCACGCTAAAATAAGACAGTATTTATTTACCCTCTGTTGTGTTTTAAGTGATATGTATTCCCTCGTAATATAGAACCTTATTTAAGGTAATAAATTGCTTATGATTTTTGTATGGAGCAAGTTCGCATCTCCCCATCACGAGAAAAAGTGCGAAATTCTGCCTGTATAAAAATGTGCTTATCTATCCGTTCAAAACTCACGAATGTGCTGACCCGTTTGCATTGTATCACTGGCCGGCTTTTGAAGCGGTGGAAAAAGGCTACAGGGATGTCTGAGTACAACGTCAGACAGAACTTGGTGGAATCCCTATACGTTTACAGTCAGGGAGGTGATAGTGTGTTGTGGCCTGAAGTAACCTCTGCACTTGGGATCTGTACGGAGAATCAGCCTTTGAGTAGTCACATAGTAGACTTTGGGGGTTCATGTAAACATGTCTCAGCCTTCTTGCTAATCTTTACACAGATTCTGGGAAGTTTGATCCCGGGGCAGATCTAGTGTTTTGACAATGTCACTCACATGAACAACAAACTGTATGATTTGGAGAGAAGTTTTCCAAGAGGGAATTTTCTGTACCCAGTACACTGCCATTACTGACCCAGAAGACTTGTTGATAATCGAAATGTAAACCGATAGAGAGGTGTAAGCTACGGACTGCTTCCCCTCAGTAATGAGACCTGAGCGTAACTTTAAAGAAAACTTACGAAAAATGGGTTTGATTGTCACACGGACAGACCAAAGGTTATGGTAAACAAATCAGGTCGAGACAATCTATTCGGTTGCAGATTAAGCGTTCACGTATAGTCGCGCGAATAGTCTGTTGGACGAAACG